CACAGGCTCTGAGAGTTTCATTAATTGAAATGTGAATGAAGTTCAGCAGGGTGGGTGCATGGATAAATTAGGTACTTGATTGGATGGCATCAATGATGGGTCACGTCTGATTGATGGTCTTGATATTTCCTCACCATCTGTAAAAGATTAAAAGGGAAATTATTTATGTAAAAGGTATTAAAAGAACTGCTTCTGTCTGCATCATTGGGGCTGTTCTACTCACTCCATCTATGGTTTAGTTTTTTTTTTCGGCATGAATTATTTCATACTTATTTCTGGGTTAAATTTATTTTCACTCTCAATTTGCAGTTTAAAGTTTTTGCATGGTGATGGACCTTACTGTTAAATGAGTCAAGGACTTGGAATTCAGTGTTGTGACCTATTCGAAGTTGCTGGTCCCTCTATATGCGCGAGCGTGCGTGTGCGTGTGGTGCTTGTCCAACGGTGGTCGCAGGCCGCCTATTCCAAATGGATGGCGAAGATAGAGGCCACATCATGATATGGGCCCTTAATGGCATAGCCATGATATGGGCCCTTCATGGCATAGGCAATGGACTGTATGGCTTGCTTTTTGCTTAGGTAGGGTCCGCGCCTCACCTATTTAGATGACTCCTCTATCTAAAATCCATTTTAAATATGGAAATTAGATCTAAAATGTAAACCTTGATGAACATGTCTTGGGAAAAATAAATAAACAAGAAGTAAAATGAGATTTTTTAATAAAATTAGCACCCATATTATGTCATGTTTTTGTGGCGCCGCAATTTGTTAACATCCATCTCGTCCATCTACCAGATGGATGTGGTGTGTGTCGAAGTGCTACCCTTGATGCATAGAATTACTTTTCTTTTTGTCTATTAGTGGTCTGATATCTTCTTTGGTAGAGGTGGCAATGGACCCGAACCAGACCTCCTGGGTATACCCGACACAGTTTGGGTATGAGTCCAACATTTGAACCCGGTGGGCCCGGTCTGGGTCCACAGTCGAGGATTTCTCAACTTCAATATTTGGAGTCTTCAACACTAAATTGACAAAGAACGACGCAATCAAGAAGACGTCAATTGTAATAACAAACTTCAAGCAAGCCAATGATCCTGACCAGGTGAGCCCCGTGGTTTACGAAACTCACGGCCTACCATCCATCCCATTAAAAATCAGATGGATGGGAGCGCTTCCATCCATCCCATTAAAAATCGGATGGATGGGAGCGCTTCCCATCACTCCATGGGAGAAAAATGAACACTAACCTGCTATGGTCCGCAAAGTCTTTCCTCTCAAATCGATGAGGGTATTGTCTTTCCTAAGCTTGAGTGAAAGAGGGAAGCATATGAAATTGCTTACCTAAATTAATCCAAATGAACAAAGCTAAAAGATTACATGCTCCCAAGGGAGCATACCACCCATTTATTCCCTTGAGCAAAAGCCAAACTAGGAGACTTTTTGAATCCCAAATTTTGGGGACCTCTTCAAACCATATGCTATTCTCAATAAAACAAAATTTATAATTGCATTCTCTACGGGCTGAGGAAAAACTAATGCGTCACCATTGAATTTTTTAGGGGTGAGATATAAGTGTTATAAAATTCGAACATCTGATTTTTCTTTTCAATATAATCTTCTGATATTTTTTAGATGGTTCCTAAATTTCAGATCAGAAAAAACTTCGCAAGTTAGTTTTATGCCTGAGGGAATAAGTATATAGTATATGCTCTCGCAGAAGTATGGGATACCAGCTCAAGAACAAAATGACTTTGATGAAACCCACTCAATACTATGTTCCCAGCTGCCCTATTAAGAACTTAATAATGGCCAAGGGTAATTACAACTTTTACAAAAAAATATATAGTCTCGTTGTTTACATTTTGAGTAGATAATGCCTTAGAATTGTGTGTGAGAGAGAGAGATCTAAACCCCAATTGAGAAAAGGCTCACATGATTGTTGACCTTTAAATTCGGAAAAATTACGTCCGTAACACATTTAAATATATGGTAATTATGGATTTGGAATAAATTTAGGAAAAGTTTAAATGGATGTACACCAGTCCGATATTTATGACTAGTACTTTTTTTAAAAACACCCTGTGCCTTTTTTCTTTTTTTTTGTTTTACCCCAAAGGCCGATGTTCCGAACATTTGACATTTTTTAGGTATAGGGACTAACACGATGTTGAAAACATCAAATCACGCAATACTTCATAATTTTTTTAAAATACACAATCCAATATTGGAGACACCGGACCGAAGTTTTTTTTAAAATAAAAGAAAAATAGGCTCGCTAGATATCTCCATATCGGACCGATCCAATGAACAACTCCCGTAAATAGGCTGGTCCAATATCTCCAACATTCGACTCAGCAAAATACTAGTTGGTAGTTGAGTAGGTCCGATATTACAGATATTGGATAACCCTATTTTGTTTTCTTTTCAAGAATTTTGATCCAATGTCTCAACCATCCGACAATGTAGATCCGAGGATCAAGACCTCATACTAGTCCATAAATTTCAAAAGTAAAATAAAAAGCGTTTGATGTTTATGACATCAGATTGTTGAGAAAAATTAGAAAAATAAAATAAAAGAAATGAACATCTACATAAATTTTCCATAAATTTGGACCACTCCATGATTACCGTATCTAGACGGATATAAGTTTTCCTTCAAAATTAATCCGAAGGAGAAGAAGATAATAATGTTAACACCTGCAAGAGAGAAGCCTCGAGTCACTATTTTTGGTGATATTTGTTGATAAACTTTATTGTCAACCGCAAGAAGGTTTCATGTTCATGTAGAGCATACTATCTATTTACTCCCTTCAGTAAAATCAAGTTTAAGATTATTTTTAGGATTCTAAAATTTTGGGTTGTGATATCATGAAGAACTAACTTTAAGAGAGGAAAAGTCAAATCACACTCTCTATGTACTTGAAAAAAGATGGTGTCCCAATATTGAATACAGACGGTCCAATTTTAAAGGGTGAGATCCTATTGTGAAAAACTCAAAATCCAAATTTTTCTTTTTGAAAAAAATCATTTGATGTTTCTTAGGTGGATCACCAAATTTTAAGTCGAACAAGTCCTCCCAGGTAGCTCTTTCACCTGAGGAAGCAAATGTACAGTATGTTCTTGTCATTTTTCTTAACTTCATGAACAAACATTATAGATCTCTTGGCCTGCAACTTAATTCAAATCGCAACAAGTGAAATGGCAATAGTGATGGCACAATTGTTAAACTAAATTCTAGGAGGTGTAGTAACAATTGATTCAACTCGTTGGGTAGTAACTATAACTACTATTCAAAACTACAGCATTTAAGTAGCGGTTTGTATAGAGCCTAGGCTCTAAACAATCAAATTAGAGCCTACCTTCAAATAGTATCGAGAAATGTGGTTTCAACATTGGAAATCTTTGTGATTGCCTCAAAATATATTTTCATCTCTATTTACAGATTTTAAAGCTTCAAAAATAGTGTAGATCGACAGATCTATGAAAACTTGAAAATTGACGGTCCAAAAATGCATTATAAAATACACTATTTCCAAAATTTGAAATCTATTTTTTTCTCATGTCCATGCATTTTAATGTCGAGATGATCAATTCGAGGATATTTGGGAATCAAAACAATCTCTTCTAGTGAAATTTTTGAGGTAGGCTCTTATTTGATTGCTTAGAGCCTTGGCTCTATATAAACTTTTTCTAAAAAAATTATATCTGGACTACATGAATTTTTTAATATGCTCAGTCACAAAAGTATACAAGTTTTGGGCAACCATCTCAAAAGACTAAGACTATTTGTGAGATCACAAGTGCAAGTGAATATGACTTAATAAGTTGCAAGGATTAGTCACTGCAAGTGAAGTTTTTTTAAGAATCGATTGTGAGATTGGCGTTTGAGATTTGAACAACTGATAATAATGACGTAAAGAATCGCAAGGCGATAAAGGTTTTCATAGGACCAGTGAGATTTTCAAGACATCATTTACCATCATCCGAGTCTTCTCCTAATTATTTGGGGTCGGCTCAAGCCATCATTCATCATTAAAGAAAATTTGCCTGGACAAATAGTTGTTTCTCCCAAAAAAATCAGTTTAGTATATGAAATAATCTAAATGTAATACAACAACGTGTGGAATAAAACTTAGAAAGAGGGGCTTATCAACTGAAAACATGCATGTATTTTATGTAAAACTGTGGCTGAAACTAATTCCCATTTTTTCCTGCATTGAACCTTTGCACAAGTGTGGAGCTGGATTACAGCTGCAGTGGATCACCCTACATGCATCCAGACAATTCTTCTCCGAATGGATCTCCCCTCCCCTCCATGGATCAAATTCTTTCGAGAACTTCGATTAAATTGCTTTGGCATATGTAGAGCGAACGAAATATGCGAGCCTTGGGTCAGATTCACAACCTTGGAACAGTTGATGCCAATATGTTGGCCTCCATCAGCTCATGGGCTTCAATGAGGAAAGATTTTAGTGGTATCCCTATGGTCCGGTTTTTAAGCCTTGGAGGATAGAAATAGCCAATGGTGGATGCACCACTAGAAGGTTCGGTCAAGATTAAATTCGATGGTGAGCTCTCAGGGCAATCGTGGACAAGCAAGAGTAGGGGACACTGAAAAATCACCACGACAGTCTGCTATGTTCTTTTTTGGGTCATTACCAAGACTGTCCTGCCAATGACAGAATTGAGGCTCTTTTGAAGGACTAAAAGCATACATGACTAAAAGCATACATGACCGGCAGACTAAAATCATAGTCGAAGGTGATTCGAGCAATGATGTACACCGGTGAAGGAGAGCTACAAAGACCATGGAGGCCTAAGCCTAGATCATTGATGGACAAAGCTACAAATAACTCCTTGTACCAAAAGTAAATGATCTCATTGTATACATTTCCGTACTTCATATTTCTTAAAGTAATAAAATAGTCGACTGCTAAATAAAGAAAGAAATATAAATTTCAAAACTTCATATTTACAAAGCTAACATAAAAATGAACACAGATGATAATCCATTTAAGAAATGGCATTATTTGAAATACATTAAAAGTGCATACATACTAACTAGATCAAGTTCAGCATACCATTTCAGCAAAGTTCACATGGCTAGTTCAACTAACATTCATTCCCCCACTACACTTCACAGAAGTCTATGTGAGGCATCTTGAGTACAGACGTACCTTAATTGATTGACTGGGAACTTCAAGTACATCAATTCTAAGTCTATAAGTACCATCAGAGGAGATAAGTACCATCAGAGGAGACTTGAAGGAAAATGGGATCAAGGGATATCATGGCACCAGATAAAGGGAGAGATTTGAGAAATACACATTTTCTCAAAGGTAGCTTTTCGTCAGAATCTCCAATACGTTCTTCTCTCGTAATGTGGGGTAGTCTCAGAACCCTTACAACCTCTCTCTCAACTCAAATTCTTCTCTCTTTTTCAATTGAATCACCATATGGTGCTTAGCTTTGCTCTCTCTCTCTCTCTCTCACATACAAATGGTTCCTCCCTGTACTCTTTGATGCCTCTACTCGTAAATGCAAATCCCATTCAGTTCCAACAGTATAGAAGAGAGGTAAAACCTATCCATCTAATGCCCAAAAGAACAACTAAATGTTCATCCACCTTCTCCTTTTAGGTCCTCTTCAACGAACATACACAATAACATAAGCGTTTAACAAACAAAACAAGTAAATAATGCCAACGCGTCCACTGATGTCCTTCGTAGAAGAACAAAAAGAAAAAATGGCAGTTAAAGGAAGACAACAGCTCGGCCAAACCAATTCCCCAAATACAAACACACCACAAGCATAAAAGATAGAGATTGAGGGTCGCAATACATGCGTAAAGAGTGGTTCCCCAACCAACCCCTCAAGCACATATGGTCACGCTCCACAGGCACGTCCCCGACGGCCTCAACTCAGTTGTCTGCCACTCCCCTCCAGCCCCCGCATCAGGGTCATATACGAGCGTCCTGTACCCAGGCTCATTCTCACAAGAAAACAACAGCAACTTCCCTCCCAAGATCCCAAACCGAAACCCAATGCACTCGCTCCCCATCAACGGCACTGGCGCCACCCTCCACAACCCCTCCTCAGCATCAAAAATCGTGATCCTCCTCTGATTCTTCCACTCCATACAGTAGAGCCTTTGACCCAACACAGCGTGCGCAATTACCATGACACACCCATTTTTCATCTCTTGCCAAGAATGCTCGTCAGGGTCATAAATATCCACAAACTTGGAGTTGCCTATGGTGAAGGAGGAGCGGCCACCCATGACATAAAGCTTGCCATTGAGGGCACATGCGAAGCAGCCCCACCGTGGACGGCGGAGGCTCTCAATAAGGGTCCATGAGTTGTGGTCAGGGTCGTAGACCTCTGCACTTGAGAGGGATTCACCATCCTCATCGTAGCCCCCAACAACATAGACAGCACCACCCACCTCGGCACATGCAAAGTCGTAGCGCGCGATGTTCAAATTAGCTAGGGCACTCCATCTGTGCAGTGAAGTGGAGTTTAGAGAGAGAGAGATATGCTTCATAAGGGAAATTCATAGCACCAGCGATATGAGATCATGGACATATTTTTTAATTCAGTTCAATATTTAAAAATCAGAGAGAGGAGAGACAGAGAGGGAGAAGTAGATTCACAGAGGAAATCTGTAGCAACAAAAATTCAAGATGTATTTAGCAAAGAGCTACAAACCTCAACAAGATTATGAATAGCACAGTAACTCAGGTTTGAAGTACCAAACAATTAATCTTTAGAAAACATTATGGGAACAATGATCACCGCTTAAAAGCTGGGACACAGTACCAAATGATTGGAGGAAGAAAATGAAATTTCAGCATTTCAAAGGACACTTAAATTCTAAAATAAACATAAACAGTACCATTTCATGCTTGTCATAGATTCATTTTTCGCATGCCATTTAAATGACAACAAAAGAAAGAAGCAATTACAAGAAAATGTCATGATGAGATGTACACAAAAACAAAGAGTCAACTCATTATCAATTATGCTTTACAAAATTCAGTTTTTCAAATACCAGATACAATACAAACGAAAGTGACTAATACTGAAGATGACCTGTTGTTGTGGAAAGTGCAATAATATGATGGATGTACTTGTCACATGCAAGGAGAAATCCATTATGGCTTTAAAGAGGCTATCAGAAAAATTAATGAATTTCACAAAAATACCATCGGTTGGCACCATTTCACAAAACTGAGTTTAGAAAAAAAGACAAGAAACATAACAAGAAATGGAGCACAGCATTCTGTGACTGACAACCTAGTTTTGTGCCAAAACAACAATCCCTACCAGAAAAACATGACAAAACCAGAGAGAGTCTGTACCTTTAACAAACCCAAAATTTGATATATTTTTTACAAATGAACTAAAGACAATAAAAATTTTCAGAATAGCATCTCTCTAACTATTTTCAGGATAGGATATGATCTCCAAGTACTTTATCAAGGAAACACCAAAACAAGTCTAGACGAAGATGCTACAAAACCTGTTAAGCCTCGAATCATACTGGTACACTTCTGATGAGACACCCTTTGTTCCACTGCCTTCTGTAACATACCCAGCAATAACAAGAAGCTTTCCATCCAAAACAACGACCCCAAAAGCTGATTTTGAAAGGCCAGGCATGGGGGGAAGCAGGTGGTGCTCCCCATCAAGAGAACCCAACACTTCCCAGTGGCTTGCCTTCCCTGTTGAATCACCAGTTAGCACATAGAGCCATTCTTCCAACTTTCCGCATTCTTTCTCACATTAAGGAACTCCTTACTCTCTATAAAAGATCTCCATCTCTTACAAACAGAGCCCACAATAGGAAAATCACTTCGAGGCACGAGGGCAAGGCAGTATTTTGCAACATCATCAGGCAAGCCAGGTAAGATTGGGCAATAAGGTTCAGAAACCTCAGAAAGAAATGGTTTGTCATTCATAGGAGCCGAAGGATTTTCAATTTTGAAAGAGAAACACATTTTTTTTCCAGCCAACCGCTTACTTTTGGCCATCAACATAAAAGCTATGATAGAAAGGACGATTAAGGGAACACTGAATCACAGGCTAAAATACGTAGCTGGTAAATTCGATAACGGAATCAACAGAGAATGGTCCATTGTATATCAACAGAGGATGGTCCATTATACAATTGATTCCTTCGGTTATCCAAAAACAACAAACAGGTATCATAGTGACAAGGTGTGAAAGGCCCAAAAATGGATTTCAATCAAAGGAAATCATGGTATCCATCACCCACAGGAATTTTAGAAGACCAAGGCCTTGAAAAGGTAGAGAAATGGTGGATCCCCCTAGCACTTCCTGATAAAAGTTTCGGTTCTCCTCGATCTGGCTTAGATGCCATGTTCGGGCTGCTGCTTTTACTATACCTTAGAGTACAGGTTTTTCGGCTTACGATGAGATCGTGGTTCAGACAGAAAAAACTGTTCTTCCCTCCGCACATTGCCTTGATGACTAAAAATTGAGGAAGGCAGTAAAGATAGAAATGTTAAAATGATGCCAGCATATTGTTCAACAATCAAATTAAAGAGTTAATATATATGTAACACACAGATTTTCCCACTTAAACAAATATGTGAGGAGAGACGACTCACCGATAATGGCCATAGAAGTGAAGCACGTTTTAACCCCCACTGACATCCATCTTGAAAACAATTTCTACAGCCAACTACATTCAAGAAGCAACAAACCAATCAAACCCAATAAGTAAGTTATTTCAAATTTGAAGCCCAATACATCATAAATACTTTTCAAGGTTCTGTTTTCTATTATTTTTTTGTTTGGACGGGGATTGAGGGGTTGTTACATAAGAATATCGATACAGATCCTATGGTCCCTGGCCAAACAAACACAGATCCTACATTATAAACAGGCATCACACAAGCACACACATGAATAGAAATTAAAAAAGAAAAAGGAAATTCATCTAAGAACCCAAATCATATCTTCTAGTTAAGAAAATAAAAAAAATAAAATCACAGAAATACCCCCAGATCATTAATCTTTGTTGTCCTTCATAAAGCAAAAACAACGTTAAAGATCCTAGCCTCACAAACATGTGGTTGTATGCACACACCCCTCTCTTACTCTGCAATTTACTCGATTTTAGCTTAACTTTTCGCCCAACTATAGCAACAAGATCAAAGTTTTGAAAATGCAATCCATCATTTCATTTTTATTTTGGCCTCTTAAATTTGAGGCCATTCAAAGACATGACAATAGCCAAAATTTAGCCAAAATCCACTTTTTCACATATTCCACCTATTATCACATCGATCCCAATAAACATATCAAACCAAAAGCACAATAAAAAAAAACTAAACCAAATTGAAAGGATAAACGTTAAAACATAACACAGATCTCCCATTTATTCAGCTATAAAATCCAAATACAATTAAAAAAGGAACATAGAACCACAGATCTGATGGTGCAAATTGTTATTTCATCATGACTATGAGTTAATTTAACCAAATCTAATTAAAAAAATGGCAATAAAACATAAATAACAACAGATACTCAGGAAAAAAATTAAAAAATCCATTAGAACCACCAGCTAACTAAGCCAAAGCCGAATCTTACCCATTAAACTGGAAAAAGAACACACAGACATAGCTCCGTAACAGAAACCACACAAAAAAAAACACATAAATCAATATACACAAAAATGTAGCAGACTCAATCTGAACAAGAAAAATTGGAGAAAAAAATACCAAATCTTCACAGCAAAAACCTTAGAAAAAGGCATAAAATAACAAATGCAGCTCAAAAAAGGGGATCTTTTTGGCTCACCTTTCAAGAGCTTAGCTGCAAATTCTAGAGAGAGAGAGTGAGGAATGAAAGAGTGAGATGGGGATTTAAAGACTGAAGAAGTTGCAGAGAGGATAGGATTTACAGATAACGACCGCGTCGTGGAGCTACATGTCCCATTTTAGTTTTAAAAAAGGAGAAATGACCATAATGCCACTTTCATTTTACGAAATGACAACATGACCTTAGCCCTTATTTCAGGAGAAAACCCCTCCCTTTTTATTAAAACTCCCCGATGCCCTCCCCCTTGAGCCATGAGCTCCAGACCTTATCCTGCTGTGTGGTCCTGCGGTAGCATATTGTCCATGTAATCCTTCAAGTAACCGATCTATTTTACTTCCCAAATAAATTGGGTTTTTAAATACTGAAATTTTAATTCCTTAGGTATGAATGTTAAAAAGTTTGAACAATCTCGTAAGTCATTATTTTTTCAGGCATATGTAGACTGTATAAGAAATTATTATTTTTCCTTTTGAAGTTGGTTGGTTTAGGAGATTAGGCTATAAAAATTAGAGTCTAAAGAATATTCTTAAATATAAAAGTTTTTATTTGAAGCAAGGCAAGAAAGCATTTAAGGGGACTTGATGTCTCAAACATAATGTCCCACCCTTCATTCTGACTATTAAGATATCATAAAACAAAAAAGAGGAGAAAGAAAAGCTCTTCCAAAAATCTCTAATTGATTTTGTTTGTATATAAGAGAAAAGCCACACATATTTTATTTTTTTTAATTATTTGGGATCGGCTACATCAATCTTAATCTGCCATTCTATTCTATGAAGACCCTCAATGAGACCATAAGTCTCTATATATCTTTTCTTTGTTTCCAATCATGATCTTTTGGGCCTACCACTCACTCTTTTTTAACCTTCCTTTTGAAGCAAATCGCATATACTTGATCTGCAATGCATGTGGTCAGCCCACCTAAGTCTTTCTCTAATCTTATCTCCTATTAAACATGGGGAATTTGGTGTTAGATGAGGGCCTTTGGTCCACTTATAGAGAGAGAAAATAGGTCATTTTAAAGAGAGAGAGAGTGGGGAAGGGAGGAGTTGTAGGTCAATGGCAAAGGATAATAATTGGATAAGGATACATAGAAAATATAGAATTCGGATAAACTCTCTACTTTTAAGGGGCATGAGTGTGAGTCTTTCTTGGTTGGACGTGGTCTAAAGTCTTCACAAGTGGGCGCGCACAATTGGGAACGGGGAACAATGGAATGAGAAAAACCCAAAATATATTATATTCATGCGAGAGTATGTTGTTTGTTTACTCCATCTGCTAAAACCCTATCTAGGATTACTTTTAAGATATTAAATTCTGGAATGTAAGTAACTTCTTGAACTCGTAGATAGATTAACTTCAATAAAAAAAAGAAAAAGTTTATATAGAACCAAGGCTCTAAACAATCAAATAAGAGCCTACATCAAAAATTTCACTAGAAGATGTTGTTTCGGTGCCCAAATATCTTTAACTTGATCGTCTCGACATCAATATGCATGAATATGAGAAAAAAATAGATTTCAGGTTGTGGAAATAGTGTATTTTTGTAATAAATTTTTGGACTGTCAATTTTCAAGATTTTCAAGTTTTTATAGATCTGTCGATGTATACTATTTTTGAAGCTTTTAAATTTTATAAATCAAGATAAAAGTATATTTTAAGGCTATCACAAAGATTTTCAGTATTAAAACCATATTTCTTAACACTTTTTGAAGGTAAGATCTAATTTAATTGTTTAGAGCCTAGGCTCTGTACAAAACACACCCTAAAAAAAAAAAATCAACTTTTCTTTTTAAAAAATCAACTTTTCTTACTAAAACCCCTTAACCAAAAAAATGATCATGTAAAGAAAATTTTACCCCCGTTTTGACCTTTACCAATTACCCTAACCATTAACCCATTTACTATGTTTTTCTCACGAACCCGGGTTTTTACCCATTCTTCTGTCTTCCTCACACTTCTTCCTCAGGGCTTATGGCCTCTTCCTCATGCTCATAACTTTCTCCTTCACTACCACGGCTTCTTTGTCACGATTTTCTCTATTTTCCTCGACTTCTTCCTCATCTCTTCGTCACGGTTTTCTCTATTTTCCTCGGCTTCTTCCTCACCTCTTCTTCCTACAAGATTTTCCTCTCCATTAGCTTCCTCACAATTTTCCCTCTCCACGAATTTCTTTCTCTCTCCATTGGCTTCCTCACACTAATCGAATCCCTCTGTATGTAGGCAGAATAAATGACATATAGAGGAAATTCCAACCCAATATAGAAGTATTCTAGAGAGAGTATGTGTGTGTCTGTGTGTTTGAGAGAGATAGAGGAAGAATTTACACAATATAGAGGTATTCTAGAGAGAGAGATCGAGATTTCACAAAATAGAGGTACTCTAGAGAGAGAGAGAAAGATAGAGATTTCACACAATAAAGGTATTCTAGAGAGAGAGAGATTTCACACAACATATATGTTTTCTAGTTAGAGAAAAAAGGTTCTTTGGTGAAAGAAAACCAGTATTTATAACAAACAAAGAATGAAGGAACAAACCAAGAACTTGGAGCATTTTTGGGGGATCCGGCATTTTTTGAACGCACTCTAGAGATCACAGTCCGGCATTTATGAAACACTCTCCGGCAAAACTAAAACTCACTCTGGCATTTTCTGAAAGCACTCCGGAGATTAGTTCACCGTAAAATCAATACGGCACTTGTAAAAAGTACTCCAGCAAAATTAAAAATCACTCCGGCGTTTCTTGAATCCGCTCCGGAGATTGATTCACTGTTAATAGGCAGTCCGAAATCTAAAAAATATACACTAGCAAAACTAAGAAGCACTCCGGCGTTTTTTGAATGCACTCCGGAGAATGTTCACTGTTAAATAAGCACTCCGACATCTGTAAAATACACTCCGGCAACATTCGAAAGCACTCCGGCATTTACTGAAAGCACTCCGGAGATTAGTTCACTGTAAAAAAAACAGTCCGGCATTTGTAAAAAGCACTCCAGTAAAACTAAAAGGTACTCCGGCTTTTCTTGAATTCACTCCGGAGATTGATTCACTATTAATAGCCAGTCTAGAATCTAAAAAACATGCACCGGCAAAACTAAGAAGCACTCCGACGATATGTTTCTTGGATACACAAGCACTTCAGTCCGGTATTTTAGATATTCAATCCGGCATATTGTTTTCTCATAAGCACTCTGGCAAACAATAACCACGGTCCGGTGTTAATGGAAATTGGGATCCGTCCGCAGGATTTGATCGCACATTCAAGGTATGGAAAGGGGTATTTTTGGCAAAAAAAAAGGTAAAAAAAGATAAGGGTGGAGCTAGAAGGTCTAACAAGCATTTTGGGGGTTTTTTAGTAATTTTCCCCTAAAAAGAATGCCCTAAATGCAAACTCTATGCACTTGGAAAATGTATTGTCTCACAATTGAATAGAGACCATGCAATTTTTAGAGGGTTGAATTCTCAGTGTTACGATGGTAAGTGGTTACCAAATTGTAGATGAGTGATTTACTTACAGACCTTTAAATTTTTAGATAAAATACAAAAGGGTGTGGTTTATATAAGGTTGCAACCTTAAATAATCCAATTTAGGCGCATCTTCAAATTTTATCATAACATGTAATTTTGGAGTAAAATAATTTTAAGATTATTTGAAAATCTATTTTCATACCTAATTATGAAATTTTAATTAAAAAAATAGTTAAAATCAAGTAGATCTATAGACATGAAAAACTTGAATATGGACGGTCTAGATAATATGTTGCAAGATGCACTATTTCTAGGATTCAAAATATTTTTCTTTTTTTTATATTCATACATCTCGATGTTGAGATGAGAAATTAGAGGGTTTTCTAACATTAAAAAACAAATTGAGTTGTATTTCTACATTTTAAGGTTGCAACCTTATATAAACTTTTTCCAATACAAAATGCTCCATAGAGGGAAATTAGAAAGAAGCATGTCAATCATTATTTTTTATTTTTTTCAAAATTGCCCTTCACTCAACTTAAATTTTGATTTTTTTTTTTTCTTTTTAGTTTTTTCGTTAGTAAGCCGTGCTCCAAGCTTCAAGACACAACCCTACCAGCAAAAAAAACTACAAAAAAAAATCAAAATTCGAGTTGATCAAAATGCAATTTTGAAAAAAAATACAAAGAAGCTTGTCAACTGACTTTCTTCGTAATTTTTACATATAAGTAGAGCATTTCATATTTTACCTAAATTTTTAAAATCCGTACATAAATCACTCATGGTAGATTGAAGATATCTTCTATAAGTAGATATTCAGATTGAAGGAGTAGATGTGCAGTATATGCTCCCGCAGGAACACAGTATACTCACTCCTAACAAAACTGGCAAAAGACGGAAAGAGATAATAGTAAAAAGAGAGAGAGAGAGAGAGAGAGGAGCAAAAGGCGGGGTTGTTGGCGACTTTAGAGAGAGAGAGTAGAGAGAGAAGAGAAAGAGAGAGGAGAGAGAGAAAGATGCAAAAGGTTGGGGTCATTGACAACTTTGGGACTATGCGCAGGGTGGTGACATTAGGAAGGAGCACAGCATTTTAGGTTTTTGGCTTAATTTAGAATGGTCGTTGGCTTTGGCCCTTTGAATTTGTCTCTCTACTTTTATTGCTTTTCGGTGTGCGATTCCATAGCTTTAACTCTCTCTCTACAATGGTTGGCTCATAAAAATTCCCCGCCTTTGCTGGGGTTTTCACGTCAAGGGGCCTATAGATCGCTCTCTCATACTGTATATGCATGGGTGTCTTTTGTCTTCCTCCTCCCTTGTTGTGTCTCTGTCACTCATTTAAAATTTGTCCATTCCACTTGAAGTCTCAGTCAGTGTTCTCAAATTCACTTCGCTTCGGTCCACTACCTAAGCGAATCAAAATCCGGTGCTGGTGCTTCGGTCAGATTTGGGTCGTTTCGTGTATGTTTCGGGCTAATTCAGCTTTTTCGACCTAAACAAAGAAATATCTAATTATAAATATTTTTTTTATTATTATTTATATATATATATATATATATCTAAATTTTTATATGAAACAACTGTTGCATTGTCTATCATATCGTATTACTATACTGTTGTCATGTTTTA